CCTTCAAGTGACACTGGGTTTCTCGCGCCTGCAAGTCTGTCTGTCAGTGGCAACACTGCTCTGACCGAGGAACCTCAGAAGTTGCCGAAACCAGAGACACCTACCCAGTCGCCTTCATATGATAACCAGATAGAGCGTGTTCAGTCAGAAGGGCTAGCCACTGCTCCGTCCGTGGACGCTGACAACAGTCTTCTTAGAAAGCATATGGATACGCTGCTGGAAGCTCAAACTTGTCTGCCCGACGTTGGTGAACCGTCGGCCGATGACTTGAATCCCCATCACTCAACATCAGACGATGTCTCACATCGGACTCACGAAGTGATAGGCGAGCGCGAGAACAAAATGGTGTACAGAGATGATGTTGCAGCAACAGTGCTTTCAACAGTCGCCGACGTCGGTGAAGTGACTACGCACCACGGCACCGATCAGTCCTCCGAATACACCCCCATAAGTCAGCCCGCCGGAGACAAATCACCATTGATGAGCCATTTGCCTCCATTGTCTGTGAACGCCGAGGTTGCTGGGAATGACCTGGACACCCCAGGTGCTGAGGATAGCCTTTCTAAAGGGCTTGAAACGTATTCTGAGCAGCGCATGGTCAAACCACCAGGCGCAGATGAAGCGTTGTTTAGGTCGGAGGATTCTAATAATCCTCCTTCGGCCGTCAAACCTCCCGGAAATGATGAGGACCTACACGAAAACAGAGACCGCACTTCAGAGGCTGGCGACGAAGTTTGCGCAACTCATAAAGCGCCGTCTCCTTACAGCCCAGAGAAGCCGCTGGGTGCAAGTGAAGTAAAAAGCGAGTGGGATGACTGGGATAGCTCACCAACCTCAGCTACCGGTCCAAGTTCCACACAGGCAAGCGGAAAATCGCTTGATGTCCGTGCCTCAACTAAGAATGACTGTCCGCCTCCTTTGCCCTGCGAAGCCAAAGCTGAGACAAACCAATTCTTTTCACCTAGCGAACTTTCTCCTGAAACGATGGCAATGCCACCTCCCCAAACCATCGACAGCTTTCACACTCCTCACCGTTCTGGACCCGAACCTTCCGTTAGGGGGGCAGAAGTCTCATCCAGTTTTACAACACCTTCGATAAATTTGTCTCATCCTGAGAATATTCAGCATGACCCCGCGGCTGACGACTTGTCCCATACACCACGCAGTCCTCCTGAGGAAAAGCCTCCGATGGATCCAATAATCACAACTGCGAACGTCATGGATCCGGCAGTTTCTAATGTGCACAGCTTTGTTGAGTCCAGTGTTCTCGAAAATCCTCTGCAGACTGTCCAAATGGCTTCCATCCCACCGCCAAAGCAAGAAAGTCCGACAGTAGTTAAACCTGCCTCGCCATCTAGCTCTGCGGTGGAGGCTGCTTCCACCGGCGGCATGTTCTTGAAAAAATATAACTGGGAGAGTTGGGACGAATCTCCCCCGGATGAAGGAGCACTGTCACTGAAGGAAGAGAAACCCGACACTGTTCACGTTAACGAGCAAAATAGTGTGGGTCACATTGCGCAGCCTGTCGGAAAGTCCGAACCCGAGCATATTCCGGAGAAGCGACCCACCGATGACGCCGTCCCCCGCCCAGTGCCCCCTTCCGAAGCTGAACCAAGTGATGAAGTCGAGAACTCCGGTTGGGACATTGATTTTTGACACTGGATTTCGCTTTGCCTTCTACCATGTCTTTCCTTGACGACGTGAGACGTATACTTCTGTGGGTTTTTTTATTAATCGAATTACGCACAGTTGTTGCCCTGTCTTTCTCTTCTCTACGTTCGTGTTCTTGTTTTTGCCTATCCGCACAGATCGTGTGTAGATGTATCCGGTGAGACTAATAAAATGTGCACCTGCATGTATGCCTTCGCCGCTTTTCCCCTCTCAGCTACCGATAGAACACAGGGCTATTGCAGATGGCTGTAAGAGACTTGAATGTGAACCCCCTTCCCGTGCCATACAGATGGCCATGCGCTTAGTCCCAAGGGGATTCGGGTTAAAGGTAAAACATGGGAATGGGCCCAGGCGGTTTTTCAGGGATGGGTACGCGTGCGCGTGTGCTAACCTTAACCTCGATTGGAACTTACAGAAGAGGGGAGTTTCTTCTCCCGTGCTTCCATTATATTTGAAACCATCGGAATTACTTTTTCAGCCACTATCACGTGCAGTCCTCTCCAAAGAGCCTTACACTTTATAGTGTAGGAGACTTTTGATGAAAATCAGGTCATATGTGCATATTTTTTTCGGGTATTGAAACTTCCTGGGATATTGAATTAGGGTTACTCCGAGCATACACCCACAAATGCTTAGGACCACTTGACTTACATTATGGAGGGTTAAGGATATACGGAAATAAGTGGAGATCACCTCTGCGGTTTTGTCCCCAAGGAAAAGTTCGAGGCGGTTCCGAGGCCTAGCCTTTATTCAGCATAAACAAGCGTCCAGCCTGGTCTTGCCCGTGGGCTTCTTCTATTGCCTTTCTTGTGCATGCTTCGATGCTCAGATTTTGGTCGGGAGCACACGTTCGCACTTCCGTGATAGTCGTCTAACTTCTGATTGGCTTTCTGAATATGCCCTATAGGGTCGATGGCCCAGTAGTGAATTTTGGTTGGATGGTGGTGCTTCCCGATTAGATATAGTTCATCGCCTGTTTATCGTGCGGATTTACTTTGCTCTCACTTAAGTGCTCTCTCTGTAACACCTCCCACAGTTGTGCGTTTGACCTCGTTCTCCTTCCCGGAGTCCTCAACAAGTATTTTTTGACGGCCGTATTCGCTCTGAACATTTTGAGTCGCCGATGAGCAAACTTCGAGTTTCTTGCCGGTTGGAATCTGAAACGCATCATAAAGTAAAGCTTTATGTGCCTCTGGACTCTGTCCGCTTTGATTTCAGCCTCAAAAACTACGCCTGGGGCTTTTCAGATCATACCCTCTGTTCATGCATCTTAACGAAGTTTGTAGTTCTTTACGCACATTGCATCTCCTCTAAGTAGCTGCACATCAGTCATATTTTTCGTTGGTTATGAACTATTTTGTTAGATCCGGAGCCACTTCTTGGACACATTTGTTTCTAGTTTACGGGACATGGGTCCAGTCACTTTCTGTTCTACTTTCTGTGGTCGTGTAAGGCAGCTGTGTAGGGACTGACCTATCAGTAAGCGTCACCATTTCCCTTTTGTGGCTTCTAGTTTAAGCTCGGCCCTAAAAGTGTCATTTGTCGAACCGGTTAAGATATTGCTAAACCGTAGGGCGTCTCCGTTACAGAAGTTCCGATCCGATCTGGATTAGTGTGAGCACTTGCATTTACTTCTTTTATGGCCAGCGTAATACAGCGTGTATACGTACTTCGAAATAATGGTATACCTGTTGTTAACCCATGTATTCCTCAGTACCTGAAGTAGATAAAAATCCCGAATAATGTATTTTAGGTCGTCAGTCGCTACTATTCGTCTGTCGCATTACGCGGCTGCCGTCGAAAGTATGCCCGCATGGAAAGGTAGTTTATGACTTACATACTTATTATGTGGGGTTGAAATCTTGATTATTTGGCTCTGACTTTTTAGAAAACACGCTGGTATTTGTGTGGGGCTTCTACTTGAATCCTACAAAGGTAGGATGTAGGACTGCATAATATTATAGCTTTAAAACTCGGAGTGGATGCCATTAAGCTCGATTTTAGTATAAGCTCTGGCACTCCGGGGATGTACTCTACTCTGGCATTGCGAGTTTGGCGAAATTATAAACTTCGTTATGAAGACTATAATCAGTCTGACGCGTTCAAAGCTATCACCGTGCGCTAAAACCCAGGGCTTGGAGGTTTGCCAACTGACGGGATAACCCGGACACCGCAGTTAGTCCAGTGTGTGTTTTGTTGTGCAGAATGGCTGACCAGGGAGCTGAGAGTCAGACTACAATAGCTCCTTCTTAATGTGACCTTTGTGGTGCTCCCGCGGACGCGGGAGCCTACCTAGCAAGGTGGTGTTATTATGGCGCGTTTGGAAGTGTGTTCACGCAAACTGCCTGTGACCTCCTCTATCCCCGGTCTCGACTTTTGTCTTGAACTCGGGTTCAGGTATGGGAGTGGTCAGGGAGTGGGGTAGATTATCCACAAGTCTACTTTCACTATAATCCCGCAGGAGTCGCCGCGTTGCTTCAGCCTGCTGAAGCTCGCAGTGGGCATAATCGTGGGTGACGTTCGAACTTTGAAGGGGAAGAGAGAGTGAGGCTGATGTTAGACAGTCCATCCAAACGGCATATCCGAGGATTCCTCTTTAGAATACAATCTGACGCGTTAGAAGTCATGGTTTGGAAGATTGCCAACTTGCAGAACAAATCAACCCTCTTCAGGACAGAGAATCCGGTTGCGATGACTTTATTTTAATATGGTATTTGCGGCCTCATCCAAAGATTAGGTTCTAGAAAATAAATGTTATCTTGTTGCATGAATTGAGAACCCGCTTGTGTGTGACACGCATCTACAGCCTGGTTGCTTTTGCGGACTACTACGTCCACATCCACCTATCACTTTAACTTAGTCTTGTCACTGGATTAAGGTGGGTGAGGGGGGCAGAGATTGAGATGGATCTATTGTAATTCGTATTGTAGTGGTCCTTTCTGCCCGACGCCCACCTAACTCTTGACGTCATAGACAAGGTCATTCAGAGCAGGCCCTTGCGCGAATGTACTTTTCGGCCTTCCCCCGACCAGACGCAAACTGGCGGATGAAACACTCACCACCCACTCCAGTGTCTACCTTTGTGCGGTCCAACCAATCACCATCAAGTCAAAGAGGATTCGGTGGCCGCTCGGGATGACTGACGCTAGACTCCGCGCGGGGTGGACGCCACGCCGCTGCTCTCTCACACGGCTCTCACGGTCGAAGGAACGCCAGACCGAGTCAACATTCCTATGAACTATTCTCCAACTCATTCTGTAAACAATATATTGTTCCTACTGCTCTGGCTTTCCGAGACTTCTCTCATCTCCTAAGAACCGGGCCTGGAAGATCGCAGCCGTTAGGGTTAAACCTGGGTAGCCCTTACACCATTGCGATATCACTATAAACAAATCTACGTACCGGTCACTGCTGGGTCCGCCTTGTAGGGTAGCAGTGGACGCCCCCGTTTGCGTCGTTTTGCGTTTTTGTGTGTAACTACCAGACCGGCGGATGAGCACCTATTTAGTTAACCACGCAAATTTAAAACAATGCTGAGTCTAGGCAGGTAGTATTGCCGGTGAAGACAAGGGGAGACTGGAATGACCATTTCTGACTAGTAGCCGTCGTCAGCCGGTCATACCCAGATCCAAGTGGTGCCCCACGTGGGCCTTGAACTCGCGAACTTTTTGATCAGAGTCAAACGCCCTAACCATTGAGCTACGAGCTCGTTGTCTAGCCGGTTTAGATCAGGGGCTATTGAAACTCGTTGATGAATGTTC